GCAGAAATACATGCTGATTTAATCACAATCACACATATCAGTATTTACTTAATAAAGCCCCCAAATTAACTCAAAAACATTACATTATACACACTACTTTTCACTGAACCATCACTGACTCTAAAGTGTGGCGGTAACAGATCATTAAATTAATTTCCAAGTTTTTTTTTATTTTATATTAGTAAATGTGTTAAAATTGACAGCATTGACAGCAAACTGTGGCAGCTGGGGTGGCCAGGCATTTTCTAGGGCAGCTGCTGCCACCCCTCTAGATCCACCCCTGTATAAACCATGTAAAGGCCCAGTCAATAAAAAATAATTCTTTAAATTTAAAATACGAATCTTAAAAGAGACTGTGATATAATATTTGGTGATACCACCCAGCACTAGTTAGGCTATATGTTTACCGAAAAATGTGTCCAATGATAACTGTTGATAGTGAGGTGTGTGAATTATCCAGAGTTACTATGTGGAGAGTTTCCCTGCAGCAGAAAGCAGATTCCACTCTCCTCCATTATATCCCAGTGTTAATGTTATAATGACTCCCATTACCGGCTGTGTGTCTTATTGTACTTTGGGTGAAGTGACAGCAGGCTGTGGTGCTGTGTGCCACCTCACAGTGACTGTGCACACTGACCTGGAAGACAAACATGTTTTGACCATTAGCCTTTAACTTCAGTTTAATGTTTGAGCCCAGCGGAACACAGAGACTCCACTTCCTGCAGTCTGCAGTCCGGATCCACGGAGACCGACAGCTGTTGCGCCGCTGGTGAGCTCCTCCACTTCCACTACAACCATTACTCCCAGTGAAGAATGACTGTGTTTGTATGCAGGGAAATAATATGAGGCAGAGCTAGGAGCTGAGTTTAGCTCGATCAGTCCTGACGATAACGACTCACGTGATTTCTTCATGTGACCTCTGCTTAGTCTGTTGATCTGTATTGTTTATCGATCTACAGCTGATCTCGGAGCTGATCAAACATGGAGATTTCATTTGCAGGCAAACGGGCTCTGGTCACTGGAGCAGGAAAAGGTAAAGACAACTCTGAACACAAATACACACACACACA